AAAAAAAACAAAAGAATGTATGAATGTGAAAAAGGATATTATCTTAATTTAAATACAAAAACATGTGAAGTACTCAAAAATGGATGTAAAATGGAAATGAAACATATTGTTATCAATGTAAAGAAGGATTTATTAAAGAAAATGGAGAATGTAAAAAAATTGATAATAAATGTAAAAAATCAGAAAGAAATTATTGTTTAAAATGTTCAAATGGATATAAAATACAAAATAATCAATGTAATGGAGATAATGAGATCAATGTTATTATGAAGGAAATAAATGTGTATCATGTTCAAATGGATATACATTAAACAATGGAAAATGTTCAAATAAAGAAAAGAATCAAAATGGAAAGAATGAAGAAATATATTGTGAAAATGGAAAATACATCAATAATAATAAATGTATAGAATGTTCAAAATCAGAAATATGTCAAACAAATGATATTGAAATAAAATGTAAATATGAAGAATATTTAGATAATAATAAATGTATAAATAAAACATGTGAAGAAGATATGATAAAAGATCAAAATGGAAAATGTAATAATAATAATAATATTGAATATTGTTTAAATAAATCATATGTTAATGGAAAATGTGTTGAATGTTTAAATACATATTCACCTAATTTGAAGGGAGAATGTATTAATACAAAAATAGAATATTGTGAAGAACAAAATGGATATGGATGTAAAAGATGTGAAGAAGGATATTATTTAACAAAAGATAAGAAATGTTTAAAATGTGATAGTAATTGTGAAACATGTTATGGAATATCTACATATTGTATGAGTTGTTCTAATGATAAATATTTAAGAAATGATAAAACATGTCAATCAAATGAAGAATTAAATGGAACATGTTTACAAATATTAGCAGATGGAAGTGGATGTGGAATATGTAAGAATGGATATTATAGAAATGGGAAAGGATGTTCAAAATGTGAAAAAGAATGTTTAACATGTAATCAAAAAGATAAATGTATAATATGTGGAGAAGGATATTTTATGAGTTCAACAGGAATATGTAAATCAACAACAACAATTAAAGGATGTAAAGGAGAAATAGATAAAGAATATGGATGTAGAGAATGTTTAACAGGATATTATTTAATAAATAAAGAATGTTCAAAATGTGGAAATAAATGTATAACATGTTTAAATGAGAAAGAATGTAATAAATGTGAAGAAGAATATATAATAATAAATAAAGAATGTATTCATTATTCAAATATTAATAAATGTAAAGAAACAAAAAATAATAAATGTTCAAAATGTTCATTTTGGTATGGAATCAATGAAGAAGGAACAAAATGTAATAAAGAAATGGTATGGTGGATGATAATGATAATTATCATCATTATACTTATTATCATCATTATAATAATTATAATTATAATAATAATGATTAATTACATTATAAAACGCAAAGAAAAGAAAGAACAAGAGAAAACAACAACAATATTTAAAATTTCACAATCAAATATCAAATTCATATCACTTGGAGATGGAATAATAACAAATAAAAAAGAAATAGAAATAGGAGAAGGAGAAAAAATTGAAGTAAATAAAGAAATTAGAGAATTAATATGTATTGGAAATGAAAATAAAGAAAAAAAGAAAATACAAATAAGTAGTAAAGAAGAAAATGAAAAATATTCAATTAGAATCAAACCAAATATTATTACAATTGAAGGAGGATATGCATGTGAATTTGAAATATTCATTACAATCAAATGTACTACTAAAATTAAAGAACAAATAATGATAATTAGTAAAACACTTAATAAAACACAAGAAGAAATAGTTAAAAGTATTTCAATTAAAGGAGAAACACAAATATCAACACGACTTGATCCAGATGAAATAAAAGAAGAACATAAAATAGGAGAAGGATCATTTGGAATTGTATATATCGGAGAATTTAGAGGGAATCAAGTAGCAATTAAGAAAATGAAACAAATTGATAAAGATGAAAATAAAATGAAAGAATTTGAGAAAGAAGTAATGATGTTAGATAAAATTCGAAGTGAATATATCATTCATTTTTATGGAGCAGTATTTATTCCTAATAAAATATGTATGGTAACAGAATATGCAAAATATGGATCAATACAAGATTTAATTAATAAAAGAACAAACACAGAAATACCAAATAAAATAAGAATTAAATTCATGCTAGATGGAGCAAAAGGAATTTCATATCTTCATTCAAATGGAATAATACATCGAGATATTAAACCAGATAATTTTCTTGTTATAACACTTGATGATAATATTGGAGTTAATTGTAAATTAACAGATTTTGGAAGTTCAAGAAACATCAATATGATGATGACAAATATGACATTCACAAAAGGGATAGGATCACCTATTTACATGGCACCAGAAGTACTTAATCGAGAACATTACAAAATGGAATCAGATATATATTCATATTCAATAACAATGTTAGAGATTATTACATGGCAAAATCCATTTCCTAAAGAAATATACAATTTTCCATGGGACATTGCAGATGCAATCACGTCAGGTAAAAGACCACCAATAATACAAGAAGTTAAAGAAGATATTAAAGAAATTATTGAAAAAACATGGAAACAAGAACCGAAAGAAAGAATAAGAATAGAAGAAGTAGTAAGAATGTTAGAAAGAATTGAAAATAAAGAATAAAACAAACATAAAAGAAATAGAATTAATATTTCATTTAATTCTATTAAACAATTTAATTTTATTAACATACTTTATCATTTCATTTAATTACAAATAAAGAAATGAACAATAAATAAATTAAAATAGAATTCATTCATTCAAAATAACGGGCAAAATAATTTGCATTAACAAAATAAATTAATTTTTATTATTTTGTTCTTAAAAATAAAAAATTAAATTAAATACTCATTCTATAATCATTTATATTTCTTTATATTTTATATCATTTTATGGTAAATTGTTCTGAATTATAAATGATTCAGAAATGATATTTGATTCAATGTAAGTATTTATTATTTTTATTATTATTTTATTTATGTATTTTATTATTTTTATATTTATATATTTTATTATTATATTTATTTCTATTATTGTATTATATATCATCATATTATCTCTTTATTATTATATTTATCATATTTTATTAGTTTTATATTCTTATTATTTATATTTTATTTTATATATTCATATATTTCTATTTATATATAATTTCTTATATATTAATACATTTCTTTATCTTATTTTCATTTTGATTATATTTTTATATTTTATATCTATTTTCTCTTTATATTTATTATTATTTTATTTATATTATATTAATTTTATTTATCATTTTATTTATATATTTTATTTATTATTATATCATTTCTTTTCTCTTATTATTTCTTTATTATTTATTTAATTTTTCTATCTTCTATCTATATCATATGAACGTAATACTTATTATATATTATATATTACTGTTATATACTAATCATATAACATCTATAACTAACTATATAATAAACAATGATAATAAATAATATATATAAATAAAAATTATAAAAATAAAAAAGAATAAAATAAATTATATCAATAAAATAATATTAAATAATTTATATCAATAAATTAAATAATTTTTATTTCATATTTCTAATTTCTGTAATAAAAAACACATCCTTTATTTCATCATTCTTTTCATCTTTTATTATCTCATTTTGAGTTATTCCTTTTTATCTTCTTTCATTTTATATTTTCAACATTCTACTTTTATTCTTTCATCTTCTTCTACTTCCTAATTTCAATTTATTCTTTTATATCATTCTTTCTCTTCATTTTTTTCTCTTATTTGTTTTTTTTTCGTGGACTAATCTTAAAAGAAATGTATAAATCAAAGAAAGTAAAATGAATATATAGAATGTGTTTATATGATAAGAAAGAAATTAAAGGGTACTGATTAATATCAATTAGAGAAGAATATGATATAGAATTAATTATAACAATGTAATTTAAATAGAGAGAATGAGATAAAATAAGATGAATAATTAAAAAGAAAATAAAGAGAAACAGAAAAACAAATTATTAAAATTATTATTATAAAAGAAACATTCAATCATTATTATTGAAAAATAGAAAAAAAATAATAATTATAGAAAATTATAAATGATTTGAATAGTTATATAATAGATAAAGAATTAACAAATAGAATAATGAATAAATATAAAAGAAAAAGATATGAAGAAGAAAAAATTATATAAAAAGAACCAACAAATGATTGAATAATAAAAATACAATTGAAACAATCAAATATTAGTAATGTGCCATTATGTGATAAAATAATAAATATAAATCATGTACTATTAAATATATTAAAATAAGAAATGTCATA